GGACAGGTAGAGGTCAGAGAGGTGGGTGATGTAAAGAGAACGCACACGGGCGAGAAGCCATTCCTGTGCCCTGTGTGCGGGAAGACATTTGCCACAATCGACAACTCTTCAAACTCATCAGAGAACACACACGGGCGAGAAGCCATTCTTGTGCCCTGTGTGTGGGAAGACATTTGCACACTCATCACATCTTCAGCGTCACCAGAGAACACACACGGGCGAGAAGCCATTCATATGCTCTGTGTGTGGAAAGGCATTTTCACAGTCATCATCCATGAACAAGCATCAGAAGGTCCACAATGATAGGAAGCTGAAATCAAAAGGTGAAATTCAAGGTGCTGAAATAAGTCCTGAAGATAATTCCACCTTCGATCCCATGCAGTTGGATCCCGAGAGATGGCTGGATGTAATGGAGTGGCTCGAGGATCAACCCGAGAGCTCGGGTGACTGAAATATAATGTTGCATGCGGTTGTACCTATTAAGCTGTCTTGAGTACTTTTGTATGTAATTCTGACCCTTTAGATTGAGAGTTTCTTGACGTGCAGGTGGTGATTTTTGATGTTGTCGGATTACTTGGTGAAGTGGTGTGATGAGCAGTGGTTGTGAGATGGTTCAATTCGGACAATATTGTAGTGTTTAAGTCTTCCTGTTGAGCTAAAGTTGGAATGCATCTGTAGTTAGATCTTTACTCAACATTTTAAACGTTTTTTTCAAGTTTAAAGCTTTTTTTGGATGGTAATAATCGACTTTAGGATGTACGTTGATGACGCGTTCGTTGGATATATGGCCTTGACTTCAAATATAGACGCACAGTGAACAAATGTGGTGAACTAATAAGGACATCATGGGGAATGATACTTTAACGCGTTGGTATTCCTGGAACGGAAATAGTTTGCATTGTACTGTAACTGTTTGAACATAGGACATAATACATATTCGGTTGGAGTTTTAACGTAAAAATGATTGCAGATTAATAAAAACGTATTTTAACAAATGTTTGTTCATTTATTTCTCATGTTCATTGAATGAACGTGTTTTAAGCGAGTTTCAGGTGGAGGATCTTCGTCACGCAAATCTGCCCTTAACCGGCAACGTCTTGGCTGTCTTTTTTATTAACATGTGCTCACCAGGCTGCGTTGTTTCGCGCTAGATTGGCGATCAGCAGAGCGTCCAACCTCATCAATTTCCCTCTCGAAATTGCATTGAGCCCTGCGCATTTACATATAACGTTGATTCGATCACATTGTAATTATAATACAACCAAAGTGTTATTCTAATACTTTAATCCCATCCTAATTCTGCACCTTCCGTTTCGCATATCCGACCCCCGATACGAATGTCCAAATAACGTACATACATACGAGCATCGTGTGATTCTAATATGGCCACATTATGATTCTAATCATTCTTTTGTGATTCTAATACCACTCTTCAACATATGGTGTTCTAAACTATAACACTAGTTTATAGTGTTATTTTCACAGCATTATAATGCATTGTTCATAGTTTATAGGTGATATTTTTCACAACTTTAGAATAATTATAATAGACCAAAGAGTTATTCAAATAACTTTAATCCGATCCTGCACCTTCAGTTTCACATATCTTCTATATTCAAGCACAGTAAACGCTAATACGACCATAATGTTATTAAAATATTTCAATGCGGTAATCCCATTTATTCAAAATAAGCGCACAATTACACACTGAGATGCACTTACATATTCATGCATGAAGCACAGTGGGCACATTACCCATGTTAATAGACATGCGGATTGTGCCTTCCAAAATTAACAATCGAATGCAAATATCCTGAAAGACAAAGGATTGGATCCTAGCGGGGGAGTTATAAGGCGGCTCAGAAGCAGAGCTCAATGCCATTTCGAGAGGGAACTTGATGAGGTTGGACGCTCGACTCGTCGCTCTGCTGATCGCCCTTCAACCGCGAGACAACGCAGCCTGGCGAGCACAATTGCTGTGTCGACAGTTAGGCGACTTTGCGTCGGGAGAGTTCGTGGCGACATCTTCAGACGGGTTCAAGACATCGATATACCGTGAATCTCCAAGTAAGTGTCTATTTTCGCGATTAAACTCTTAAACGTGTTCGCCGTCACATTAGCGAGATTTTTTTGCATCTCGGTTAGAGTGTCGTTCTTGTTTTAGCAGTTAACAAAATCTAAAACTCAACGCTAAACATCCTTGCGGCCGATAGCGTACTTTTGACTCGATAACACCACTACTGTTACTACGCTCACTTGGAGCAGAGACGCTCTCCACAGCCCCACGCACACGGAGGCAAGAAGCCATTGAATTGCTCTGTGTGTGGGAAGTACTTTTCATGGCCATCACATCTTCAGAGACACCAGAGAACACACACGGGCGAGAAGCCATTCATATGCTCTGTGTGTGGAAAGGCATTTGCACAGTCATCAAATCTTCAAACTCATCAGAAAACACACACGGGCGAGAAGCCATTCCTGTGCCTTGTGTGTGGAAGGCATTTTCACAGTCATCATCCATGAACAGGCATCAGAAGGTCCACAATGATAGGAAGCTGAAATCAAAAGGTGAAATTCAAGGTGCTGAAATAAGTCCTGAAGATAATTCCACCTTCGATCCCATGCAGTTGGATCCCGAGAGATGGCTGGATGTAATGGAGTGGCTCGAGGATCAACCCGAGAGCTCGGGGATTACTTTGTGAAGTGGTGTGATGAGCAGTGGTTGTGAGATGGTTAAATTCCAGACAATATAATAGTGTTTAAGTCTTCCTGTTGAGCTAAAGTTGGAATGCATCTGTAGTTAGATCTTTACGCAACATTTTAAACGAGTTCTTTTTCAAGTATAAACCTCTTTTTTGCTGGTAATAATCGACTTTAGGATGTACATTGATGACGCGTTCGTTGGATATTTGGCCTTGACTTCAACATAGACGAACAGTGAACAAATGTGGTAAACTAATAAGGAAATCATGGGGAATGATATTTTAACGCTTTGGTATTCCTGGAACGGATATGGTTTTCATTGTACTGTAACTGTTTGAACATAGGACTTAATACATATGCGGTTGGAGTTTTAACATAAAAATGATTGCAGATTAATAAAAAACGTATTCTAACAAATGTTTGTCCGTTTTTTTATTTTACAATGTTCATAGCAAAAACGTGTTTTAAGCGAGTATTAGGTGGAGGGTCTTCGTCACACAAATCTGCCCTTAACCGGCAGCATCTTGGCTGTCTCCCCACTAACATGTGTCCCTGGAGGGGAAAGTCTCCATTATACATCTATCCTCAACGTTACGGTCCCTCACCATCAACGGCCAAAAACTATCACATTATAAACTCACACTGTAAGCTCTAACATTATAAACTCTAACAATATAACTGTTATAGCTATACAATGTAACGCTATAACAATACCACTGTAAACTACATTTATAGTAAAATCTAATGTTGTGAACTCGAACATTAAAACCTATGAGCTCGACATTATAACGCAAAAAAATAACATTATAAACTAGTGTTATAGATTAGAACACCATACATTGAAGTGAGAGAAATCGCATTCGAATTATTAGAATCACTCCGTAGTCCTCTTAGAATCATACTTTGCTCGTAAGTACGTTACATGTCTGTATGTAATATGTCTGTATGTAATATGTATGTATGTAATATGTATGTAACATGTATGTATGTAACATGTCTGTATGTAATATGTATGTATGTATTATGTCTGTATGTAATATGTCTGTATGTAATATGTATGTATGTAATATGTATGTAACATGTATGTATGTAACATGTCTGTATGTAATATGTATGTAATATGGACGTGGGGACCAAGTGTGGGATCTGTGAAACGGAAGGTGCAGGATCAAGATCTGATTACATTTTTTGTTGTACCAGAATTACACTGCTCAAATCTACGTTATTTGAAAATACGCATCAGAAGACAAAATATGGCATGCGAGGTGCCAGGTTTAGAATCGCATAAAATTATTAGAATCACACCATGATCGTATTAGAATCAAGTTGCCCACTGATTGATGAATGTCCATCTCAATGGCATCGAAAAGCAATACACAAGTATGGAAATAGATAAATAATTGAACAAACCCACTATGAGCTCGTGAGATTATGAATCGTTACAATTGTAACGACTTCAGACTCTGTAGACTGTAGAGGGTTATTTTATTTAGCCTGTAACGCTGCTTACGACTCCAGAATCACGATCTAGCAACGACAACGACGAGACAGCAACCAGCCACGATCCGATATTCCACCAAAACAGCCCCGGACCTCGTTCCTCCCCCTCTCTTATTCTCGGTGTGAATCTACTACCACCCTTTGTCCTGCCTTCCCTTATTTAACTCTCTCTATCCTAGTAATAGGTTTTAACCCTTTCAACTGGTACAAAAACTGACACCTTTATACAAGGCATCATGTTTGCAATAACCACAACACAAGCAGTCAGAATGCAAACAAAAAGAAACAACTCTGATGACGATAATGATATGTATTGTCCTTGAAGTTGATTGGTAAAACCTATTACTATATTTTGCCACTGTGAAGGTCTTATAGTGTAAATCTTTATATCCTATTGTCACCGCTTGTCCCTTAGTAGATGCACTGTCTTTACATCAGAAATATGTTTTAGAAGCCAAGTGCATCAGGGCAGCAGCTGTAGCAAAATTCCCCGACGCCCAACAATCACAATCTTAACGGGCAACTGCAAGGGGTAAGCGGTGTGACCACACTCACTCGACAACATCAACAAATCAACACAATAACCACAACAATACATCTAATACATTTCCACGTTGTCCAAGGAACCCTTCGCATAATTCGTGGGTTGGGAGTGGAGCTTACTAGCGCAACCTTGCGCATTTTGACCTGGTTCTCAACGCCAGTCCCTCGCCCATTATGGAATATTGTGCCTTTCCGTCAAGGATCACATCACAGCCTTGAAGGGTTAGGCAGGTCCTTGGCTTCTTTTGAAGAATATGACTGGGCCACCTCGCACGTGGCGATCCTTGAGGCACCCCGGGCCTCAGGGGCTCGGAAACTGTGGGCGCCACAACACATTTCATTTGCGTACGGTTTCCGTTGCCGAGGCCCCACCACGTCGGACACACCAGACTTGGGCTGTACAGGACATGGGGATGAGCTGTCTGGGTGGGGACGGACATAACTACATGCGTACACACTGCGGCCATTTCACCTCTATGACTTCTACCTGTCGCCGCCGTGGGCGGAGCAACTTGGTGGACGTACCCGGTGTCACCTTTGGGCAACACAACCTGTCTACGACCGCCCATGGAAGCACGTGTTCCCGCCGCCCCGTGTTCTTTTCATTAGCGGCTTGCGCTCTGGCAGGGAAAGTTCCTCGTTGTAAATCGTTTCACAACGTTCTGGTCCCGAAACCCGAAGTATACGGGGGATCACCTGTACTCTATAACATGTAAACTGATAACACTATGAACAATAACACTAAACATTCAACGACTTTATTTTTTTTATAATAGATTCCACCATAAACGGAGTTACGGTATGAGAATGTCATTAGAAGCATTTTAATCGCTCATATGTATGTAAAGTGTAGGTTCAATCGAATCGGGGGACGGATATGCGAACTGTGGGGGTTTGCAGGGTTAGAATCGCATTAAAATTATTCTAGTAACAATATGTTCGTATGCGCATTTTACTGTGCTTGAATATATGTTATGTGCAAATGCGAATCGTTAGTCATAAATGCTAGGCAGGGTTTAAAATGTGCATGTTTAATCCAGTGTTAACGTTAATCCAGTGTTAGCATTATATTTAAGGACAATATTGTTAATATCAATTCGTCTGGACATGGCACGTGCCTTGTTCGTCTCGATCAACCAAAATTAGTACAATGTCGGTCATAAAGGTGTGCGAGTTCATTCATAAGCAGTGTTCGCTGATCCCCGATGACACAGACCTATACACACAAACAAAGTACTCTTTATTAATTAATTATCAGCTCAGACATCATCATCTCAATCATTTCCAAAGACGTGTGGGGTCCCGCGAGAGCAGGGCCTGGCAACAAATATCTGAGCAGCGGAAGCAGCAGAATCAGAAGTAGCTGCGTCGCCCTCGAAATGTGATGTTGCTGCTGCTGTATTTGCTTCTGCGTCGATCAAGATTGACGCTCTTGATCAACTCTGACATTGTAAACTCTCACATGTTAAACTCTAACATAGTGAAATATAATATTATAACCTATGAACTACAACCTAGCCATTGTTACGCTTTAAAATACGATTAACTGTTATAGTGCAGAACCACATAATTGGAGGTGTGGGATTATAATCGCATACTAATCATTAGAATCGCACTGAGCTAATTAGAATCACACTGTGGTTGTACGTATGGTAAGTTAATATGCCAACCGGGGGTAGGATATGCAGGATTAGAATCGAATTACAATTATTCGAATCCCACTCGTATTAGAATCACACTTTCCACTGTTGGATGAATGTGTCGTATCAATGGAATCGAATAGCCATATAAGTATATACAGTATACACAAATAAAGAGTATAACAATCACACATTGTAACATAGATACAATAAACATTATTTAAAAAAACGTATTTACAATATATATTCCACTTTTTTAAAACTCAGAATGTCGTCGTTCATGTGGGGAGATGGAGCGCAGTGGATCGTATCGTCTAAGCTGCTTTTCGGAATCCGTGTGATAACCCAGTCACATCGCCTAACTCCAGTGACAGCACCTTACCCAAGCTACATCTCCCCAACAAGGCAGCCTTACCGATGCTGTGTATTGTGTTTATGGGATAACAGAGGTGTGTATTTTCCCATACGCCTTGCCCAAAAAGACTGATTGTCCGCTTAACAGCCTAGCCTGTAAACCACCATTGGTGATAGTGTTGTTTGAGAGCAGCTATTAAAGTCGTTTTGGCAAACGAGGTGGTGGCTGGCCAAACCATGCCTCGCTGTTTGTCTCCGGAGTGATGACGGATACAAACCAGACCAAGCGGAGACCATGTACCAGATCGGATTTTGGTTACTGATGTTAGAGTGATTGTATTGCAAGTGTGGTCACTACGCGTCTGTACGTGCTCACACACGAAGCTCGGCGATTTTTGGCAACGCCACGGGGCTGCATTCACTTTAAATCGAGGACAATGGAGGGCATGGGGAACGTGTTTTTCCATTTATTCAAAATAAGCGCACAATTACACACTGAGATGCACTTACATATTCATGCATGAAGCACAATGGGCACATTACCCTTCGGTATGTTAATAGACATGCGGATTGTACCTTCCAAAATTAACAATCGAATGCAAATATCCTGAAAGACAAAGGATTGGATCCTAGGGGGGGAGTTATAAGGCGGCTCAGAAGCAGAGCTCAATGCCATTTCGAGAGGGAACTTGATGAGGTTGGACGCTCGACTCGTCGCTCTGCTGATCGCCCTTCAACCGCGAGACAACGCAGCCTGGCGAGCACAATTGCTGTGTCGACAGTTAGGCGACTTTGCGTCGGGAGAGTTCGTGGCGACATCTTCAGACGGGTTCCAGACATCGATATACCGTGAATCTCCAAGTAAGTGTCTATTTTCGCGGATAAACTCTTAAACGTGTTCGTCGTCAAATTAGGGGATTTTTTGCGTCTCGGTTAGACGCGAGTGTCGTTCTTGTTTTAGCAGTTAACAAAATCCAAAACTCAACGCTAAACATCCTTGCGGCCGATAGCGTACTTTTGACTCGATAACACCGCTGCTGTTACTACGCTCACATGGAGCAGAGACGCTCTCCACAGCCCCACGCACACGGAGGCAAGAAGCCATTCAATTGCTCTGTGTGTGGGAAGTCCTTTTCACGGCCATCACATCTTCAGAGCCACCAGAGAACACACACGGGCAAGAAGCCATTCCTGTGCTCTGTGTGTGGGAAAGCATTTGCACTTTCAGCAAACTTCAACGCCATCAGAAAACACACACGGGCGAGAAGCCATTCCTGTGCCCTGTGTGTGGGAAGACATTTGCACACTCGTCACATCTTCAGAGTCACCAAAGAACACACACGGGCGAGAAGCCATTCCTGTGCCCTGTGTGTGGGAAGGCATTTGCACAATCGTCAACTCTTCAAACTCATCAGAGAACGCACACGGGCGAGAAGCCATTCCTGTGCCCTGTGTGTGGGAAGACATTTGCGAAGTCATCACATCTTCAGAGTCATCAGAGAACACACACGGGTGAGAAGCCATTCCTGTGCCCTGTGTGTGGGAAGGCATTTGCACACTCGTCAACTCTTCAATACCATCAGAGAACACACACGGGAGAGAAGCCATTCCTGTGCCCTGTGTGTGGGAAGGCATTTGCACAGTCATCACATCTTCAGAGTCATCAGAGAACACACACGGGCGAGAAGCCATTCCTGTGCTCTGTGTGTGGGGAGGCATTTACACACTCATCAAACACACACGGGCGATAAGCCATTCCTGTGCCCTGCGTGTGGGAAGGCATTTTCACAGTCGTCAACTCTGAACAGGCATCAGAAGGTCCACAATGATAGGAAACTGAAATCAAAAGCTGAAATTCAAGGTGCTGCAATGAGTCCTGAAGAGTTTCCACCTTCGATCCCATGCAGTTGGATCCCGAGAGATGGCTGGATGTAATGGAGTGGCTCGAGGATCAACCAGAGAGCTCGGGGTGACTGAAAAAATATTATGTCATGTGGTTATACCTATTAAGCCATATCGAGTACTTTTGTGTGTTATTTTGACCATTTTAGTTTTACAGTTTTTTGAGAGTTTAATGACATGCACAGTGGTGGTTTGTAATGTTATCGGATTACTTGCCGAAGTGGTGTGATGAGCACTGGTTGTGAGAGGGTTCAATTGTAGTCGTTAAGTGTTCCTGTTGAGCTAAAGTTGGAATGCGTCTGTAGGTACATCTTTACTCAACATTTTAAACGTTTTTTTTCAAGTATATAGCTTTTTTTGATTGGTATTAATCGACTTTAGATAGCCGATTTCAGGATGTACATTGATGACGCGTTCGTTGGATATATGGCCTTGACTTCAACATAGACGCACAGTGAACAAATGTGGTGAACTAATAAGGAAATCATGGGGAATGATACTTTAACGCTTTGGTATTCCTGGAACGGAAATGGTTTGCATTGTACTGGAAATGTGTGAACATAGGACATAATAAATATTCCCTTCGAGTTTTGACGTAAAAATGATTGCAGATGAATAAAAACGTATTTTTAACAAATGTTTGTCCGGTCTTTATTTTATAATGTTTCTAGCAAAAACATGTTCAGATAATTCAGGTGGAGGATCTCCGTCACACAAGTGTGCCCTTAACGGCAGCATCTTGGCTGTCTACCCGATTAACACGTGTTCCTTGAGGGGAAAGTCCCCGTAGTTCATCGTTCATCAACGTACCAGTCCCTAATCCCGAAGTATGTCGGGGATAAACTGTACTCTATAACATGTAAACTGTAATACTATAAACGATAACATTAAACATTAAACGATTACAAACTAGTGTTTTAAATTATAACCATATAAACGTAGGTAAGGTATTATAATATCATCAGAAGCATTATAATCACAGTGTGGTTGTATAATAATCGCACTCTGCAAAATTCCAACAAGCAAAACACCACGCTCACATGACGTATTCTTAAACAAATTGTAACACTCAAGTGACAGAACTCAACAAAAAAACGCCGCAATAAAAAGAACAACATCAATGGACAAATCCTAAAACAGACAACACACGCACGTCAGTAGCTGTTAGAAGAAGACAACACCTAGCACCTTCAACTATACACATTGTACAGCCAACTCGTAAATGGGGCGGTATATGACAGCCTTCGCTGCTGTCGACGGGCCAAGCAGCGAGTGTTTAACTCCATTGTTTCAGAATCCGTGTCATCACCCGGCCACAGCGCCTTACCCAAACTACATCTCCCCAACAAAACAGCCTTCCCTATGCTGTGTATTTTAGCAGTTTATTTTCGGACGCACATGAAGATAACAATTCGTCTAGAAAAGGCAGGCGACTTGTTCTACCAACATGATTTCAATTTCTATCCGAAAGAAGTATGAGTTCATTCATGAGTAGTATTCACTATGCCCGATGGCACTAACCTACACACAGTTATGATTAAACAAAGTAAACAGTAGTCGCTCATCTCAGCTCAGACATGGTCATAGCAATTATTTCCAAATTCGTGTCGGGTCCCACGAGAACAGGGCACGTCCCAAACTCTCAAATTGTAAACTCACATTGTATACTCTAACATTATAAACTCTAACAATATAGCCTTTAAACTATGAGCTATACATTGTAACGCTTTAAAATAACACTACAAACTAGTGTTATAGTAAACTATAATGTTGTGAACTCTAACAATATAAGCTAAGAGCGATACATTATAACGCTATAAAATAATATCATAAACTAGTGTTACAGTGATATTCGAATCTCATTCGATATTCTTAGCTTCACACCGTGGTCCTCTAAGAATCACACTATGCTCTTGAGTATGTAACATGTCTGTATGTAAAATGTATGTATGTAACATGTATGTAATATGGACGTGCGAACCAATGGTGGGTTATGTGAAACGGTAGGTGCAGGATCAGGATGGGATTAAAATTATTTGAATAACACTTTGGTGGTATTAGGATCAAGCTATCCACTGCTGGATGAATGTTCCATCTCAATGGCATCAAATAGCAATATTCAGTATGAATATATAAATAATCGACCAAACCCAATATAAGCCAGTGCAATTATGAATCCTTAAAATTCTAATGACTCCAGACTCAGACTACAGAGGGTTATTTTATTTAGCCTTTAACGCGGCTTAGGACCCAGGCGTCAAAATATAGCAACGATGACGACGAGACGGCAACCAGCCTCGACCCGAATCCCGGCCAACACAGCCCCGAACCTCGTTTCTCCCCCTCTCTTATTCTCAGCATGAACCTCCGTCCACACTTGGTCCCGCCTTCCCTTCTCGAACTCTCTCTATCCTGTTGTCACCACTTGTCCCTTAGTTGACGCACTGTCTTTACATCACCCACCTCGATGACCTCGACCGGAACCGGCCATGGGCGGACATACCCGATGGCACCTGTGAGCAATACAACCATGCCCTCTCCCTGACCAACCATGGAAGCACATGCTCCCGCCGGCCCGTGTTCTTTTCATTAGCTGCTTGCGCTCTGGTGGGGAAATGTCTTCGTTAGGAATGGTTTTGCAACGTTCAGGTCCAGAATACCGAAGTAAACCGGGGATCACCTGTACTTAAAAACACGTAAACTGATAACACTATCAACAATAATAGTGAACATTAAACGTCTATAAACTATCAACTGGTTTAATAATTTATACCACCATAAACGGAGGTACGATATTTTAATCTCATTAGAGGTATTAAATCGCACTCTACACATATGTATGTAAATTATCTGTTAAATCGAACCGGGGGTCGGATATGTGAACTGTGGGGGGTACAGGGCAAGAATCGTATAAAATTTCGATTCAAAGCTTTCGTGACTGCAGGGATTTATCTTCTTGGTTCTTTCGGTAAAGTCACGTAGAATGGAAGCTCAGACATGATCATAGCAATCATTTCCAAATCCGTGTCGGGTCCCACGAGAACAGGGCACGTCCACAAACTCTCAAATTGTAAACTCACATTGTATACTCTAACATTATAAACTCTAACAATATAACCTTTAAACTATGAGCTATACATTGTAACGCTTTAAAATAACACTACAAACTAGTGTTATAGTAAACTATAATGTTGTGAACTCTAACAATATAAGCTATGAGCTATACATTATAACGCTATAAAATAACAATAAACTGGTGTTAAAGATTAGAACACCGTACATTGAAGTGTGATATTTGAATTCGAATTCTTAGCTTCACACCGTGGTCCTCTAGGAATCACAATTTGCTCGTCAGTATGTAACATGTCTGTATGTAATATGTATGCATGAGATATGTCTGTATGTAATATGTATGCATGTAACATGTATGTATGTAATATGGACGTGCGAACCAATGGTGGGATATGTGAAACATGAAGGTGCAGGATCAGGATGGGATTACAATTATTTGAATAACACTTTGGTGGTATGCGCCGCAGCCTGGCTGCCCAGCAGATACCAAGGAGGAATTTTGGGAACAATTGATGGACACATGCAATCAAATAAATGGAGAAGAGCAGTTAGTAATTGGTGGAGACCTAAATGGACACGTTGGAAACGCCCGGGATGGATACCCTCGAAACCATGGTGGCCAAGGATATGGTACCCGGAACGATGAGGAAAACCGAGCCCTGGACTTTGCGGAAGCCCATGATCTTGTCCTCGCCAACACCTTCTTCAAGAAGAGACCGTCCCATCTCATTACGTACGCCAGTGGTGGGAGATCAACTCAAATTGATTTCTGGCTTGTCAAGCGGGATAAGCTGAAAACGGTGACAAACACTAAAGTCATACCATCGGACAACATCACCCCACAACATCGCATCCTGATCATGGACATGAAAATGGACATTGGCCAGCGACATCGCCCACCAACAACGGAACAGCAGCGAATTAAGTGGTGGCGGATGAAGGAATGCAAAGATCAGCTGAGAGTCGCCCTCAATCAGATTGACGTGAACACCAACCGACCAGCGAATGCGATTTGGGAAGATCTCGCCGGCCAACTGTGCACAGCAGCAACGGAAGCACTGGGGCTAACTAAGCCGGCAAAACACTTCATTGACAAGCAAATATGGTGGTGGAACGAAGAAGTTCAGCTAGCAGTGAAAGAGAAGAAGCTAGCTTTCAAGAAGTGGCGCAAAACGCTCGCAGATCTGGATTACCAACAATACAGAAACTGCAAATCGGCAGCGAAGCGAGTAGTAGCAGCGGTGAAATTAGCTCAATACGACCAACTGTATGTCGAACTGGACACCCCAGAAGGTGCCAATAAGATCTATCGACTGGCAGAGGCGCGCCATCGTTCGACTCAGGATATTGGTCAGGTCAAATGCATAAAGGATGAGAATCACAGCGCTCTCAGAGACCCGCCCGCCATCCTTCAAGGCTGGAGCGACTACTTCTCTGGAATCTGCAACCAGGAATTTCCCCACCCACCTATTATTAGCGCTGAACACGTCCTCGATCCGGTTTCACCTATCACCATCACCGAAGTGGAACAAGCTATCAAGAGAATGAAGAATGGGAAAGCGACTGGCCCGGACGATATCCCTGCTGAGGCCTGGAAGATCCTTGGCAGGCAGGGTGCTGCCCTCCTTACCCAACTCTTCAGCACCATCACGAGCACCGGTGAGGTCCCAGAAGCCTGGTCGACCAGCACGACGGATCCAATTTGGAAGGGTAAAGGGGCCGTGGCAGAATGCTCGAATTACAGGCCAATCCGGCTCCTGTGTCATGCGATGAAGATCTTTGAGCGAGTTTTGGACACGAGGATTAGAAACATCGTCACCCTATCACCCAACCAATGCGGCTTCGTCAAAGGATGTGGCACTACGGACGCCATATTCGCGGCGAGGCTCCTGCTGGAGAGGCACAGAGAGAAGAACAAAGCTGTGCACGTGTCGTTCCTCGACCTTGAAAAGGCATTTGACAGGGTCCCCCACGACCTCATCTGGCACTCGCTTCGATCCCATGGAGTCCCTGAAACCTACGTGCATTGGGTGCAACTCCTATACAAGAACGTCACCAGTGCAGTCAGGTGTGCAGTGGGCATATCACCGCCATTTCCCATCAGCGTTGGAGTGCACCAAGGATCGGCCCTGTCACCACTCCTGTTTATCCTGTGCATGGACACGATCACTGCCGACCTGCACACGCCCCTGCCATGGTCAATTCTCTACGCGGATGACGTCCTCCTCTCAGATGAAGAGAGAGGAGAAGTGGAAAGACAAACGCGCCTGTGGAAGGAACGTTTGGACGAAAACGGGATGAGGTTCAACATCAAAAGACGGAGTATATGGAGTGTGGCCCCCAAACCGACGGCACCATCAGCATTGACGGAGAAGATCTGAAGAAAGTGACGGACTTCAAGTACCTGGGTTCCACCATCAGCTCAGATGGTAGCATCACGACTGATGTGAGGTCACGAGTCAATGCGGCATGGATGAAGTGGAGGCAAGTCACCGGAGTCCTCTGTGATAGGAAAATGCCGGATAGGCTGAAGGGAAAAATTTACAAGACCATCGTCCGACCGGTGGCACTCTATGGATCCGAGTGCTGGCCAGCCACAACTGTACACGAACAAGCTCTCCACACCATGGAGATGAGGATGCTCAGATGGAGCCTCGGACTCACTCGATGGGATCGTGTCATGAACGAAGACGTTCGGAATCGACTTGGTGTGGCCCCCATTGCGGACAAGATGCTTGAGGCAAGGCTTCGGTGGTACGGCCATGTGATGCGAAGTGAAGAGTCATCAGTGGCCAAGACTGCCATGCGTATTGAGCCAGAGGGCCGCCGTCCACGCGGACGTCCGAAGAAGCGATGGATGGATCGAATAAAGGAAGACATAAAGACGGTCAACGCATCCCCTGAAGATGCCCTGGACCGAGCCAAATGGAGAAGACAATGCCGAAAAGCGGACCCTGCGCCACAGCGGGAACAACGCTAGGAAGAAGATTACCTATTGGGTTTCACTCCCTCGTCGAGAAGGCCGCTCTCTTCCTTTTCTAAAGTTACATGCTAATTTCTCTGCATTCACTTTAAATCGAGGACAAAGTTTTTATTCAAAATAGACGCACAATTACACACTGAGATGCACTTACATATGCATGCATGAAGCACAATGGGCACATTACCCTTCGGTATGTTAATAGACATGCGGATTGTGCCTTCCAAAATTAACAATCGAATGCAAATATCCTGAAAGACAAAGGATTGGATCCTAGGGGGGGAGTTATAAGGCGGCTCAGAAGCAGAGCTCAATGCCATTTCGAGAGGGAACTTGATGAGGTTGGACGCTCGACTCGTCGCTCTGCTGATCGCCCTTCAACCGCGAGACAACGCAGCCTGGCGAGCACAATTGCTGTGTCGACAGTTAGGCGACTTTGCGTCGGGAGAGTTCGTGGCGACATCTTCAGACGGGTTCCAGACATCGAATTACCGTGAAGCTCCAAGTAAGTGTCTATTTTCGCGGATAAACTCTTAAATGTGTTCGTCGTCAAATTAGCGGGATTTTTTTGCGTCTCGGTTCGACGCGAGTGTCGTTCTTGTTTTAGCAGTTAACAAAATCCAAAACTCAACGCTAAACATCCTTGCGGCCGATAGCGTACTTTTGACTCGATAACACCGCTGCTGTTACTAAGCTCACATGGAGCAGAGACGCTCTCCACAGCCCCACGCACACGGAGACAAGAAGCCATTCAATTGCTCTGTGTGTGGGAAGGCATTTGCACGGCAATCAAGTCTTCAGAGACACCAGAGAACACACACGGGCGAGAAGCCATTCCTGTGCCCTGTGTGCGGGAAGGCATTTGCACGGTCGTCAACTCTTCAAACTCATCAGAGAACGCACACTGGCGAGAAGCCATTCCTGTGCCCTGTGTGTGGGAAGGCATTTGCACGGTCGTCAACTCTTCAAACTCATCAGAGAACACACACGGGCGAGAAGCCATTCCTGTGCCCTGTGTGTGGGAAGGCATTTGCACGGTCATCAACTCTTCAAACTCATCAGAGAACGCACACGGGCGAGAAGCCATTCCTGTGTCCTGTGTGTGGGAAGGCATTTGCACGGTCATCAACTCTTCAAACTCATCAGAGAATGCACACGGGCGAGAAGCCATTCCTGTGCCCTGTGTGTGGGAAGGCATTTGCAGACTCATCAACTCTTCATAGTCATCAGAGAACACACACGGGCGAGAAGCCATTCCTGTGCCCTGTGTGTGGGAAGGCATTTGCAGACTTATCAACTCTTAATAGTCATCAGAGAACACACACGGGCGAGAAGCCATTCCTGTGCTCTGTGTGTGGGAAGAAATTTGCACACTCATCAACCAGGAACAGGCATCAGAAGGTCCACAATGATAGGAAACTGAAATCAAAACTGAAATTCAAGGTGCTGCAATGAGTCCTGATGAAGTTTCCACCTTCGATCCCATGCAGTTGGATCCCGAGAGATGGCTGGATGTAATGGAGTGGCTCGAGGATCAAACAGAGAGCTCGGGGTGACTGAAAAAATATTACTTCATGTGGTTATACCTATTAAGCCGTTTCGAGTACTTTTGTGTGTAATTTTGACCATTTTAGTTTTACAGTTTTTTTGAGAGTTTAATTACGTGCACAGTGGTGGTTTGTTATGTTATCGGATTACTTGCCGAATTGGTGTGAAGAGCACTGGTTGTGAGAGGGTTCAATTGTAGTCGTTAAGTGTTCCTGTTGAGCTAAAGTTGGAATGCGTCTGTAGGTACATCTTTACTCAACATTTTAAACAGTTTTTTTCAAGTATATAGCTTTTTTGAATGGTATTAATCGACTTTAGATAGCCGGTTTCCGGATGTACATTGATGACGTGTTCGTTGGATATATGGCCTTGACTTCAACATAGACGCACAGTGAACAAATGTGGTGAACTAATAAGGACATCATGGGGAATGAAACTTTAACGCTTTGGTATTCCTGGAACGGAAATGGTTTGCATTGTACTGGAAATGTTTGAACATAGGACATAATAAATAAAAAAGACGCCATATTCGCGGCGAGGCTCCTGCTGGAGAGGCACAGAGAGAAGAACAAAGCTGTGCACGTGTCGTTCCTCGACCTTGAAAAGGCATTTGACAGGGTCCCCCACGACCTCATCTGGCACTCGCTTCGATCCCATGGAGTCCCTGAAACCTACGTGCATTGGGTGCAACTCCTATACAAGAACGTCACCAGTGCAGTCAGGTGTGCAGTGGGCATATCACCGCCATTTCCCATCAGCGTTGGAGTGCACCAAGGATCGGCCCTGTCACCACTCCTGTTTATCCTGTGCATGGACACGATCACTGCCGACCTGCACACGCCCCTGCCATGGTCAATTCTCTACGCGGATGACGTCCTCCTCTCAGATGAAGAGAGAGGAGAAGTGGAAAGACAAACGCGCGTGTGGAAAGAACGTTTGGACGAAAACGGGATGAGGTTCAACATCAAAAGACGGAGTATATGGAGTGTGGCCCCCAAACCGACGGCACCATCAGCATTGACAGAGAAGATCTGAAGAAAGTGACGGACTTCAAGTACCTGGGTTCCACCATCAGCTCAGATGGTAGCATCACGACTGATGTGAGGTCACGAGTCAATGCGGCATGGATGAAGTGGAGGCAAGTCACCGGAGTCCTCTGTGATAGGAAAATGCCGAATAGGCTGAAGGGAAAAATTTACAAGACCATCGTCCGACCGGTGGCACTCTATGGATCCGAGTGCTGGCCAGCCACAACTGTACACGAACAAGCTCTCCACACCATGGAGATGAGGATGCTCAGATGGAGCCTCGGACTCACTCGATGGGATCGTGTCATGAACGAAGACGTTCGGAATCGACTTGGTGTGGCCCCCATTGCGGACAAGATGCTTGAGGCAAGGCTTCGGTGGTACGGCCATGTGATGCGAAGTGAAGAGTCATCAGTGGCCAAGACTGCCATGCGTATTGAGCCAGAGGGCCGCCGTCCACGCGGACGTCCGAAGAAGCGATGGATGGATCGAATAAAGGAAGACATAAAGACGGTCAACGCATCCCCTGAAGATGCCCTGGACCGAGCCAAATGGAGAAGACAATGCCGAAAAGCGGACCCTGCGCCACAGCGGGAACAACGCTAGGAAGAAGATTACCTATTGGGTTTCACTCCCTCGTCGAGAAGGCCGCTCTCTTCCTTTTCTAAAGTTACATGCTAATTTCTCTGCATTCACTTGAAATCGAGGACAAAGTTTTTATTCAAAATAGACGCACAATTACACACTGAGATGCACTTACATATGCATGCATGAAGCACAATGGGCACATTACCCTTCGGTATGTTAATAGACATGCGGATTGTGCCTTCCAAAATTAACAATCGAATGCAAATATCCTGAAAGACAAAGGATTGGATCCTAGGGGGGGAGTTATAAGGCGGCTCAGAAGCAGAGCTCAATGCCATTTCGAGAGGGAACTTGATGAGGTTGGACGCTCGACTCGTCGCTCTGCTGATCGCCCTTCAACCGCGAGACAACGCAGCCTGGCGAGCACAATTGCTGTGTCGACAGTTAGGCGACTTTGCGTCGGGAGAGTTCGTGGCGACATCTTCAGACGGGTTCCAGACATCGAATTACCGTGAAGCTCCAAGTAAGTGTCTATTTTCGCGGATAAACTCTTAAATGTGTTCGTCGTCAAATTAGCGGGATTTTTTTGCGTCTCGGTTCGACGCGAGTGTCGTTCTTGTTTTAGCAGTTAACAAAATCCAAAACTCAACGCTAAACATCCTTGCGGCCGATAGCGTACTTTTGACTCGATAACACCGCTGCTGTTACTAAGCTCACATGGAGCAGAGACGCTCTCCACAGCCCCACGCACACGGAGACAAGAAGCCATTCAATTGCTCTGTGTGTGGGAAGGCATTTTGCACGGCAATCAAGCTTCAGAGACACCAGAGAACACACACGGGCGAGAAGCCATTCCTGTGCCCTGTGTGCGGGAAGGCATTTGCACGGTCGTCAACTCTTCAAACCATCAGAGAACGCACACGGGCGAGAAGCCATTCCTGTGCCCTGTGTGTGGGAAGGCATTTGCACGGTCGTCAACTCTTCAAACTCATCAGAGAACACACACGGGCGAGAAGCCATTCCTGTGCCCTGTGTGTGGGAAGGCATTTGCACGGTCATCAACTCTTCAAACTCATCAGAGAACACACACGGGCGAGAAGCCATTCCTGTGCCCTGTGTGTGGGAAGGCATTTGCACGGTCATCAACTCTTCAAACTCATCAGAGAACGCACACGGGCGAGAAGCCATTCCTGTGCCCTGTGTGTGGGAAGGCATTTGCACAGTCATCAACTCTTCAAACTCATCAGAGAACACACACGGGCGAGAAGCCATTCCTGTGCCCTGTGTGTGGGAAGGCATTTGCAGACTCATCAACTCTTCATAGTCATCAGAGAACACACACGGGCGAGAAGCCATTCCTGTGCCCTGTGTGTGGGAAGGCATTTGCAGACTTATCAACTCTTAATAGTCATCAGAGAACACACACGGGCGAGAAGCCATTCCTGTGCTCTGTGTGTGGGAAGAAATTTGCACACTCATCAACCAGAAAACACACACGGTCGAGAAGCCGTTCCTGTGCTCTGCGTGTGGGAAGGCATTTGCACGGTCGTCAACCTGAACAGGCATCAGAAGGTCCACAATGATAGGAAACTGAAATCAAAAACTGAAATTCAAGGTGCTGCAATGAGTCCTGAAGAAGTTTCCACCTTCGATCCCATGCAGTTGGATCCCGAGAGATGGCTGGATGTAATGGAGTGGCTCGAGGATCAAACAGAGAGCTCGGGGTGACTGAAAAAATATTACTTCATGTGGTTATACCTATTAAGCCGTTTCGAGTACTTTTGTGTGTAATTTTGACCATTTTAGTTTTACAGTTTTTTTGAGAGTTTAATTACGTGCACAGTGGTGGTTTGTTATGTTATCGGATTACTTGCCGAATTGGTGTGATGAGCACTGGTTGTGAGAGGGTTCAATTGTAGTCGTTAAGTGTTCCTGTTGAGCTAAAGTTGGAATGCGTCTGTAGGTACATCTTTACTCAACATTTTAAACAGTTTTTTTCAAGTATATAGCTTTTTTGAATGGTATTAATCGACTTTAGATAGCCGGTTTCCGGATGTACATTGATGACGTGTTCGTTGGATATATGGCCTTGACTTCAACATAGACGCACAGTGAACAAATGTGGTGAACTAATAAGGACATCATGGGGAATGAAACTTTAACGCTTTGGTATTCCTGGAACGGAATGGTTTGCATTGTACTGGAAATGTTTGAACATAGGACATAATAAATAAAAAAGACGCCATATTCGCGGCGAGGCTCCTGCTGGAGAGGCACAGAGAGAAGAACAAAGCTGTGCACGTGTTCCTCGACCTTGAAAAGGCATTTGACAGGGTCCCCCACGACCTCATCTGGCACTCGCTTCGATCCCATGGAGTCCCTGAAACCTACGTGCATTGGGTGCAACTCCTATACAAGAACGTCACCAGTGCAGTCAGGTGTGCAGTGGGCATATCACCGCCATTTCCCATCAGCGTTGGAGTGCACCAAGGATCGGCCCTGTCACCACTCCTGTTTATCCTGTGCATGGACACGATCACTGCCGACCTGCACACGCCCCTGCCATGGTCAATTCTCTACGCGGATGACGTCCTCCTCTCAGATGAAGAGAGAGGAGAAGTGGAAAGACAAACGCGCGTGTGGAAAGAACGTTTGGACGAAAACGGGATGAGGTTCAACATCAAAAGACGGAGTATATGGAGTGTGGCCCCCAAACCGACGGCACCATCAGCATTGACAGAGAAGATCTGAAGAAAGTGACGGACTTCAAGTACCTGGGTTCCACCATCAGCTCAGATGGTAGCATCACGACTGATGTGAGGTCACGAGTCAATGCGGCATGGATGAAGTGGAGGCAAGTCACCGGAGTCCTCTGTGATAGGAAAATGCCGATAGGCTGAAGGGAAAAATTTACAAGACCATCGTCCGACCGGTGGCACTCTATGGATCCGAGTGCTGGCCAGCCACAACTGTACACGAACAAGCTCTCCACACCATGGAGATGAGGATGCTCAGATGGAGCCTCGGACTCACTCGATGGGATCGTGTCATGAACGAAGACGTTCGGAATCGACTTGGTGTGGCCCCCATTGCGGACAAGATGCTTGAGGCAAGGCTTCGGTGGTACGGCCATGTGATGCGAAGTGAAGAGTCATCAGTGGCCAAGACTGCCATGTGTATTGAGCCAGAGGGCCGCCGTCCACGCGGACGTCCGAAGAAGCGATGGATGGATCGAATAAAGGAAGACATAAAGACGGTCAACGCATCCCCTGAAGATGCCCTGGACCGAGCCAAATGGAGAAGACAATGCCGAAAAGCGGACCCTGCGCCACAGCGGGAACAACGCTAGGAAGAAGATTACCTATTGGGTTTCACTCCCTCGTCGAGAAGGCCGCTCTCTTCCTTTTCTAAAGTTACATGCTAATTTCTCTGCATTCACTTTAAATCGAGGACAAAGTTTTTATTCAAAATAGACGCACAATTACACACTGAGATGCACTTACATATGCATGCATGAAGCACAATGGGCACATTACCCTTCGGTATGTTAATAGACATGCGGATTGTGCCTTCCAAAATTAACAATCGAATGCAAATATCCTGAAAGACAAAGGATTGGATCCTAGGGGGGGAGTTATAAGGCGGCTCAGAAGCAGAGCTCAATGCCATTTCGAGAGGGAACTTGATGAGGTTGGACGCTCGACTCGTCGCTCTGCTGATCGCCCTTCAACCGCGAGACAACGCAGCCTGGCGAGCACAATTGCTGTGTCGACATAGGCGACTTTGCGTCGGGAGAGTTCGTGGCGACATCTTCAGACGGGTTCCAGACATCGAATTACCGTGAAGCTCCAAGTAAGTGTCTATTTTCGCGGATAAACTCTTAAATGTGTTCGTCGTCAAATTAGCGGGATTTTTTTGCGTCTCGGTTCGACGCGAGTGTTAAACATCCTTGCGGCCGATAGCGTACTTTTGACTCGATAACACCGCTGCTGTTACTAAGCTCACATGGAGCAGAGACGCTCTCCACAGCCCCACGCACACGGAGACAAGAAGCCATTCAATTGCTCTGTGTGTGGGAAGGCATTTGCACGGCATCAAGTCTTCAGAGACACCAGAGAACACACACGGGCGAGAAGCCATTCCTGTGCCCTGTGTGCGGGAAGGCATTTGCACGGTCGTCAACTCTTCAAACTCATCAGAGAACGCACACTGGCGAGAAGCCATTCCTGTGTCCTGTGGTGGGAAGGCATTTGCACGGTCGTCAACTCTTCAAACTCATCAGAGAACACACACGGGCGAGAAGCCATTCCTGTGCCCTGTGTGTGGGAAGGCATTTGCACGGTCATCAACTCTTCAAACTCATCAGAGAACGCACACGGGCGAGAAGCCATTCCTGTGTCCTGTGTGTGGGAAGGCATTTGCACGGTCATCAACTCTTCAAACTCATCAGAGAATGCACACGGGCGAGAAGCCATTCCTGTGCCCTGTGTGTGGGAAGGCATTTGCAGACTCATCAACTCTTCATAGTCATCAGAGAACACACACGGGCGAGAAGCCATTCCTGTGCCCTGTGTGTGGGAAGGCATTTGCAGACTTATCAACTCTTAATAGTCATCAGAGAACACACACGGGCGAGAAGCCATTCCTGTGCTCTGTGTGTGGGAAAATTTGCACACTCATCAACCAGGAACAGGCATCAGAAGGTCCACAATGATAGGAAACTGAAATCAAAACTGAAATTCAAGGTGCTGCAATGAGTCCTGATGAAGTTTCCACCTTCGATCCCATGCAGTTGGATCCCGAGAGATGGCTGGATGTAATGGAGTGGCTCGAGGATCAAACAGAGAGCTCGGGGTGACTGAAAAAATATTACTTCATGTGGTTATACCTATTAAGCCGTTTCGAGTACTTTTGTGTGTAATTTTGACCATTTTAGTTTTACAGTTTTTTTGAGAGTTTAATTACGTGCACAGTGGTGGTTTGTTATGTTATCGGATTACTTGCCGAATTGGTGTGAA